ACACCCCCGCACAACTCCCCCACATCCCCCACAAACCTATACCACTCCCCATGCCCCCACCCCCACAATATTCCAGACTACAACTTGGTTATGCTATGGTGCACTCACCTCTACGCACACTACACAAACACATGCAAGTCAGGACAAAAATATTTTTTTAAATCGAATGAATCTTGTAGGTGTTCGATTTTTAGACTATAACTTGGTATTTTTCTGGTTCCAAGATGGGAAAACCCCTTACAGACAGGAGTACTTCTGGTGGCAAAGTTTGGGTGCTAGGGGGCAGGACTTCTGCTCCCAAGATGGTGACCGGGCACGGGGCTCCTGTCAAGGGGCAGGGCTATCCATGTGGCCCTCCATAGCTTGCCAGAACTCGGCAAGTGGCTCTCCACCCAAAATAATTGCTTGCCCCTGCCCTGGAGGCTGAGGCCCAAACCCGCCTTGCCCCACAGCTCCGCCATGACCCCCTGGGCAGTGCCAGGCCAGTGCCACTCCGTCCCTCCCCACCACCCCCTGGCTCAGGCCGATCCCCCCGCTCAGACACTCAGGCCCAGGCTCGGCATTACTAAAATTACTTTATTACAGTTGCTTTTTTATTGTTTTTTTGTTTTTTTCCTTTTTGAACAGGCCCTTTGCTCGGGGCAAAGGAGACTTACAAACAGAAGAGTACATGGGACCTCGTGTTCACGTCTCTTACGTTCTGACCACTTGGGAACAGCTTGAAATGCACAATCCATACAATTAATACAGGTTACACAGGCGCTAGCACGGGCGCGGAACCAGAAGACCAGGATGCTGGCAGCAGACGGCACGACGAGCCGCACCGCGTGGCGCTTGTGGCAGCTTCTACCCCTGGGGGAAGGCACCGGGGCATCCCCCACGCCTGCTGGGGCTCAGGAGAGCAGGGGGGCCTCCAGGTCCGAGGTTTCACACTCTGCAATCCCCCCACAACAGGAACCAGGCCTGCAAAGCCCAGCCTGCGGTTTAGAGCATGCGTGTGCATGTTCCTAGACAGCGTGACACCTCCGGTGCAACGCCCGCCCCTGCATGCCTGCTGCCCTGCACTCAGGACAGAGCCTGAGGCTGTCTCCTGGCCCCAGCCTTGGTCGTGAGCTGCACGTTTCTCAGGGCAGAGGCAAGAGGGGGGGAAACAAGCAGTTTGAGCATCTTATGGCACGTGCTGGCTGCAGACCTGGCACAAAGCCCCCATCTCTGTCAGTCGCAGGGCTGAGGGCTGCACTGGAGGGTGCCTGCGGGTGACTTTGGGCTGTCCCCTCACTAAGCATAGGCACAGGTGGCTCTCCCCTTCCCCAAGGCCTCCCCAGCACGGGGAAGGTTATGTTAAAAAGCAGCCAGGACCTGGCACTTGCACAGAAGCTGTATATGGAAAAGTAGCTCCCCCCTCCTATTCCTGCACCCAAAATGGCAGAAGGGAAAAAAGAAATACCAGGTTTGAGAGCACTGGGTTGAAGGTCTACAATGCCTTTGCAAAAAGGGGGGAAAAAACCCAGAACAAAATCCAGGAACATGCTGGGAAGAATGAAACCAGGGGCAAGGGGTGGATAAAATGAAGCGCAGCCCCCGGGGTGGGTGGCTGGGAGGCGAGAGCACTGGGGGCTGCCAGGGGGAACGCATGTTCCCACGACCCGGAATCCAGCGAGGGAGGGCGCTGGGCTCGTGCGGGCAAGTAAGACTCACGCCGGTCTTGAAAAACTTCGCCCCGCAAGCGGTTCCCCCCACGTCTCCTGCCGCCGGCTCTCCCTCGGCCTGGCCCGGGGTTCCCACAGCCACAGCGCTCGTGTGCATCATCGCTTGCAGAATCACTCGCCTTCTGTTTCACACGGGTTAATAATTTCCACGGAATCACAGACAGGACTTTAGCAATCCGAGTGTTAATAACAACCCGTAAGCATTTACAATGTACCAAGCTGACGTCGCCTTACGGTTTGTGTTGTGTGTCCTACATATGGTTTTTAATGTTCATTATTTACATCATAGCCCCCCCCCACATTAGCTGTATACACGGCCCTGCAACAAGTACGGAGCAGAGCGGGGAGGGGGAGGAGACGCAGGAGGGCTGAAGGCAGGAGGCAGGCTGCTCCAGCTGCCAACTCTCTAGCTGACATCCTCTGGGATGCTGCGGCACGCAGAAGAGTCCCCCCCCGCCCAGGGCTACTCTCTCTCAAGTGACGGGCCTCGCTAGTGGCTCTGAAACTCCTCCTCTACTTGCTTACCTCTAGGATGCGCTCAGCAAAGCTATTCTAGGGCTGCAGATGAGCCTCTGCCGCATGGCAGAGGGGAGGTGGCACAGCCAGCTCGCTGCTTTCTTAGCAAGTGCAAGGAAAAAACCCCTAATTCAGTGATGGGCATTGGAAACATGCCCCAGCGCAAGCCAGCAGGAGAGCCACTCATCTGTTGGCTGACAGAGCCACCCGGGGGCTGGGGAAGCCCTGTGGAAGACTACCTGCTGGCCCCAGACCATGCGCTGCCAAGGGGATGCTGCCACCTCTTGCCAGGGCCTGTGTTCGTGCAGAACGCGCCTCCAAAGCCTGCGGCTGGCTCCCACCGAGCACGATGCCCAAAGTGGCAATATTTCCTACTGGCCTTGGGCTCCTGAACAACCGTGCGCGGCTCCCCACGCTCCGCGGAGCTTGGAGTTGCCATAGAAATGGGCGATCCGGGCACTAAAAGCAGGGAACCATCTCAACAACACGCGCCTCGTCTCTGGCAGGTTGACGCACTCCTCCGCATCGCCCAGAGCTGAAAGAAAACCCTTTGCAGAGGGGAAATACAGAGCTTCGCCTGTGTCCTCCTGGGCACAGAAGCAGAAGAGCAAGTAACCGGACCCTGGGTGAGCCAAGGTCAGCCCACGAGAAAGCTCATCCTCCTCAGACTGCGTGGTGGCAGCTGCATTTGAAATGCAAGGCAGAGGCTCACTAACGGCACCCCCTTGCACCAGACGCAGATTGACGCCACTCCGGGTTCTGCTTCCCAGGTTCCGGCTCTTCGCTAGCTGGCATGTCCTGCCTCTCCACACTTCAGTACAACAACGTAGAAAATCCCGAGCCTGGGTCCATGTGTTAGTTACATATTTACAGGAGTTCCCACTCGCAATCCTGGAGGTGATTGCCAGGGGAAATGCAAGCCGTGCATGTTTGGAGGTACCCGTACGCTGGGGGCAAGGCCAAGGCTGGAAGGTGCCCCTGGCTCAGTTCAAATAGTGCGATGGCAGTGCCCGCCTCTCCCTGGCAGGCTCCCTCCGGCTTCCTGTGCGACTGAGGGAAGCGGGCAGAGGGGCCATACTGGGTGCCACTGGCATATAGGACAGCTGATGGGTGCCGGCTCACGGCCACGTAGGAAACGGCTTTTCCACCCCCCAGGAGAGATTTCAGGTGAAATGCAAGTCCTGATCCCCTACAGCCGGGGGGCAAAGTGCTTTGTTTGCTGGCACGTGTGTTTCATACCGAGCCCCTGCTCCGGTGTCCTGCAGAGGCTTGGGAAAACGGGGCATCACCGGAGCTGGGAAAGAGCATCAAGGGCCTAACGGCCGCGTTGCGGCACACAACAGGACACGAGGTTATTAGATCTTGCCCTTCTCTCTTTTGGAGTCACGTCTAATACAGCCACGGCGGTTGCTGCCCCTGCGCCCTCCACGCAGCCGCGCAAGCCTCTCCCAGGCACTTCCCACTGCAGCGAGTCGCCAAAGTGCAAACAGAAACGAACACAGCAAGACAGGCAGCAATCAGTAGTCCTTGTTCGCAGGGCGGCAGCCCTTCTGTACGCAACACACTCCCCCACCCTCACAACCCAGCTGGGGGAGACCGCAGGGGCGGGCGGTCTGGCCCCGGGGGAGTTGACGCAGCAGGTTTGGAAGGACAGACCCTTGCTCTGAGAAGTCAAATCCATGCTCCAATGTCTGCTGCAAAGCACAGTGGAGGCATGCAAGCAGGGCAGCTAGGGAAACTGGCCCCATCACTGACCACCCCATGGAAACCAGCCTGTGGCCTAGAAGCAGGGCAGGACCGGAGCACCAGGGCAAAGCACGCTCTTCTCTCAGATGTACGGTTTGGTCCCCGGCACTAAGCACCATGCATAGACAGGGAGGCCAGCGAGTGGCAGCCTAAGGCAGGCAGGAAGGCGGGTCATGATCTTTGGAGATGAACCACCACGGGGGACTCCCAGACCCTTCCTCTCCCCGTGCCAGTCCAGTGGGCTGCTTGCCGCCGCGTGGCAGTACCAGACTGCCCCTCACCTTCTGCATGGCCTTCCACCTTCCCTCCTTCCTTCCCCAACAGACAGCAAAGGACACCCCCAGCCCACCGCACAGCAAGAAACAGGCAGTACTGAAACAGCAGTGTCCCTCAGCTGCTCCCCCACAACGTGCCTCCATGCAAGGAGATCCAGCCTCACCCCAACGGGGCCTGGACCCTGCCAGCCCATCGCGGAGTTGCCAGACCCGAGCACCTTGCTAGACATGCACAGCCCCTGCCGTGCGCGTGGGGACACACAGGCGCACACAAGGGTATGACAAGCGAGAGAGCAGATGCGCGTCCCTGGAGACAGCCACGGCCCACTGAAGCAGAGAGATGGGCAAGGGTGTACCACTCCTAGCAACCGCTTGGGCAGACTGGTCTGAGGCCGGCAGGTGCCCCTCACCTCGGGACACAGCATCACGCCAGGATCCGACAGCACCCTGGCAACTGGCTCAGAAGCGACAGCGCAGCGATTCCAGGCAGGCCTGTGACCAGCTGCACTCCTGGGATCCTGCCACACGCACCGTGACCCCTTGGAAGCCGGCGGGCTCAGCCGGAAGCGAGAGCACCGGCTGCCGGGCCGGCGCGGCGCCCGAGGAACATAACGCACTGCCTGCCCCGGACTGGGAGCGGCAGCCACAGCGCGCCCAGAAAACACGGCCCCTTTTGCCGATGGGAATCCTGCAAAACCCAAAAGGGCTCCTCCGAAATCGCGCCTCTTGGCTACACTCTGGCTGCAAGGCCTGTGCCCAAGGGAAGGGGAAAAACCACCGCAGAGCAGCCTGCTCGAGGCGTCCTTTCGCGAGAAGGCAACAAGCTTCCGAGCGCAGCATGCAGGGGGGAGTGCCGCGGGGACGCGCCAATGGAAGAGATGCAACTACCATCGGGAGGAGATCCTGGGACCTGTCTCTCCAGTTTACAGACGACAGTATTGGCAGTGCCAGGGGCAAGGTGACTGTCTAGTCCAGCGGGGAGCAGGTCATCTTAAGTTTAAAAAAAAAAAAAAAAAAAAAAATGGAGTTTGCAAACTGATTCAGAAAGTGTTTGCGTCTCTCTGGAATATTTTATTTTATATTTGTACATATATCTCACAAATATATTTGTGATATATATATTTATATTTATAAAAACATATACATTATATATACTAATTCACCTCCTCACACACCTCCAGTACAAACATGAACACGACCCCCCGCCCCCTGCTTACAACAACTGAGTTACTGGGTGACATCTCCTGAGATCAGACTCATTCAGAAGGCAGCTGCTGGTACCCACATGCACACACAAGAGACACACACATGTAGACGAGTTGATCTGAATCAGTTTTTGCAAACTATTTTAATTAAAATATTAAACTCATTGGAATAGTCCAGGTCTGCACATGATATACATGTAAAAATGGTTACTACACAACTCTCCTGAATACAAAAAAGCCAATATGGGATAGACATCGTTGGGTCCAGCATTCAGTCATGCTTTACATTACACAAACAAGATGGTCTGAGGGAACTCGGTTGAAGTAGCCCAGTTTAAGCCAAAGACTTGGACCAAATTCAAACCATAACAGAAGCAAAAGAATGAAACGACTCCGTGTGTAAGTACAGCCTCCCCATCACCGCCGCTGCTGCTTGGGGTTCTGAAGCACTCCACATTAGCACCGTGCTCTGGACCTGCTCTCCGCACTTGCGAGGGGGTCAATTCCAACACAGGTGGCTTCTTTTTGGCTTTCAATTTCATTTCAATTTTAAAAAACCCTCCAGGAAAATGCAGAGGATTTTCCTTACTAGTTCGGTTTAATTTGAGTGTTTTAAATGAGAAAGAATGGCCAGAAAGGCCCATTCCACACAGAGATGGAAAGCCAGAAGGCTTGGGATGACACCTAGTCATCACAGAAGTACACACGACCTAGAGGGCGACTAAAAAGGCATTTCCTGCTGCAGGACCCTCGCCGCACCCTAAACTTCTGTGCGCTGTTGATACTACAGGGCCCCAGTTAAGGCGTTAATCTGAAGCCTGGCTTGGTAAGTCTTCATCTCTGTTCAGTGATATGCTGTAGTGAGACACTGTCAGTCCCGTAGCTTGGATTTCCCAGAGGCGGGCTGAGAGCTACGGGTCTGGAGTGGATCTGAATTTAGTTCATGAAAGAACATCGCCCCGTCGAGAAACCTGAACAGCAGCGAGATGCTAGAGTTTTCTCTATATAAATACGTCACGTGGACAAACACATTCTCCAAACCTTGCTTTTGATCCCTATAAACACATGAAAGGCAAATCCTAGAGTTAGCAGCTAGTGTTTTCTTCAAGATGATTAGTCTGTAAGGAAAGTCATTTACAAAGAGCTCTGGCTGGGCAGGCCCCAGGAAGGAGACCCTCTGCCCTCGAGCCAAAACGTCGCCTACCTGCTCTTCTCTTCACCCCACGGCGCTGACTGGCCCAGACCTCCCTGGCATTGGCACTAGGACACCTCTGACTCCCAGCACTGAGGGATGAGACTTGGCCACAAAAATCATTCTGTGTCTGCATAGACTCCCCGACCTTTTCCCACGGTCTTCCCCAGCCTCCTTCGCTCCCTTTCAGTAGTACAGCAGCTCTGCCGAGACCCTCCCGGAAGTAGTGCCTCCGATGCGCGGTGACATGCTGCCGAATGATCACAACGTTTCAACGGACTGTCACGTGGAAGAGCATTGCAGCAACCAAAATAATAGAAAGGAGCCTGACATGCAGCAAGATCTACAGTGGTGATGTGGGTTAGTCAGCAGCTGGTAGAGTCGTTGGCTCAGGTCCTCCCGGTACACTATGGCAACTAAACATTTAAACAGTTGGCTACACTCTACATGTAAACAGGAAACTGCGAGAAGCCCAAGGTAATAAATCGGTGATGTAGTGTAGTAATGGAAACCCCGATCAATGGCATTTTGCGACTATGGCATCATTCAGAATACCTCTGGCATTTCAGCCTGACCGGCTGTTGAGTCTAACATTTCTGAAGAACAGAGCAAAAGGACTACTTAGGGCTCCAGGATTATTCTGGTGCTTAGCTAAGATGAGATGTCACAGTATTACCCATGCGAGTGCCTTCCTTATGCTCTTCTGCCCCACTTCTCCCGCACAAAGCAGCTACCGGTGACAGAGGCAGGGGAACGCGGAGACGCGGGGCCCGGCCCTTGCTTCCTGGCCGCGGCTACCAGGAAACGGACCCATGCCCTCTGCAGGAGAAAGCTCTCTTCTTAATGCAAGAGGGGCCTGGTGCTTGGGTGGAAAGAGTCCCATCGGACCCCAGCACCTCAACAGACAAAGCCACTCAGCCTCTCCTCTCCCATCTCTTGCCCACCTACAAGTCCTTTAATGACTCCCACTCCTCCAGGGCAACACCTGGAAATGGGACCAATTTACTGACAAATAAAAACGGGGCAAGGTATTCAGCCGCTCCACCCCCGAAGCTCCCAGCTCGCTGAGCCGGCTCCCAGAGGCCGCGAGAGTGCAGCCAGACACTGGCAAAGGCTCCAACTCCTCCTCTGCCCCGTTTGGGTCGGGGTGACCCAGGCCGCCAGAGGCCCTCCTGCAGTGTGTTTAGGAGAGTCCCCACCAACCCCTCTGCCTAGTTGCATATATTTCTCAGGCCCCCTCCCATGTCCCCCCCCCCAGTAGAAATGAGCCCCCCAGCCCCTGCAGCCAAATACTATGACATCCCAGTTAGTAAACACAAAACGTAATGCTTTACAAAATGAATACAAGATTCCATGTGCGCCCAGCTCCCCCCCCAGCAGTGCCGCACAGAGGAGGCTGTGGGGGTGGTGTCTGTAGGCAGTTTCTCTTGGCAGACAGCTCCAGTGGAATTGCCACCCTCAGTTACTGTTGAAGTTATGTATAAGACATGTGTGAACCATTGGATATTTGTGAAGTAACACTTGTGCTCCTGCTCATGCCCTGCTCCGTCCGTCCCCCGGAGGCCGTCCGCCTCAGAGCCTGGGGGCTGTTGCGGACCCCTATCGCGCTACCTCGAGGGACCCCCTGCATGGGCCCTGAGGGGTGACCCCATGGCTGGGGTCCACCTTGCATTGGATGGCCCCAAGCTTGCGGTGGGCCACCCATGGGATGACCCCAATGAGGTCCCGCACCCCCCGTCGGATTGTGGGACCAGCCAGAAGCTCCCGGGTAGCTGTGGCTGAACGCCTCGGGGGAGAGGTTAGAAAGGACCATGTTACTAAAACCTAGCCTCATGCTCTCCGAGTCGAAGGCTTCGATCTCGCGGGCTTGCCGCTCCAGCAGGCTCCGTATCCGCTCAGTGCGCTCGTTCTGCAGCGCCAGCATCTCCTCCTCGATCTGGGGAAGCAAAAGAAAGAGGCAGTTGGTGGCAGCGGGACTCATCACCTCACTTCTCAGTGTGTGCATGGGCATAACCTTGTAGCACGCAGACCCAGGCAAGGAGGAGTCCAGGGCTGGGCAGCAGGGCCAAAGTGCATGGCTCAAGGATGTCCCTTCCTCCTCTGTGGTTCTGTTGCTCACTTAGCAGCAAACTTGCCTTAACACACCTCTAAATGTACAAGGGTGGGTGGTGATGCTGCCAGGGTGCTGGAAAGGCAACCAGAACACCTCCAACTGACCCATGTCACTGTGGGAGGGGGATGCATAGGCCTAAAGATGACACAGGGCCTGCTGGACGCGCTAATATTACTAACTCTAAAACTGTGGAAACTGGCAACTCAGGCAGCCCCTGGCATGTACAGCCCAGGTCATGACCGGCACCAAGCAAACACACAGCATGAGTGTGTCATTTCCATACAAGCTCTATAATTGCCAGCACTTTACAAACTGCCCAATGAAGGGGCTGGCTCTGCGTGCCCTGCCTTAGTCTGAGTCAGGCATGCTTGGTGAAGGGCTGGGAGGATCGCAAGTCTCGCGTGCATCTTAGATCTCACTGCATTGTAGTCCTGGCTCTGCCAGACGACCACGGGGCATGCATGGGCACTAGGAAGCTGGCACCAGGCTCAAAGCAGCCTCCATTCCCTTTTGCTGCCCAGATCTTGGCATCGCAAGGCTCTTGATAGCCAAGAGCCAAAAGGAGAGGCCTTTCCCAACGCAGCAGCTTCCAGTCCCATTCCAGAGGGGCCACTATTCTTTCCAGTCAGCTGTAACCCCACAAGCCAGCCCCAGCCTCCTTACTCAGCTCCACTTCCCTGCTGGCTGTTGACTGCGAGCACCAGGCATGCTTCTGGCATACAGACTCCTCCTCACTGAAACATGCTTACCACCTATTATTTCCCAGGGAGCAAGCAATCCTAAAACACTGCATCACTCAGGGGTACCTAACCTGTGAGAAGCACCTGGATCAAGGAATGGAGCTGTCCTGAACTTTCCACCATCATACCTGAGGCTAAAAAGCAGGTTCAGAGGAGCTTCCTGCCCCAGGAGGGCCCTCACCAAGTCACGTGCCCAGAGCTACTTCTGCCTAAGGCACGCTCCTTCAGAGCCCTGGTGCAGCTTCAACAGATTCCACTTCCTCAGGTCACTTCCTGCCAGAATTTCTCATGGTCACCACTCCACATAAACTGCCCAGTGGATCTGCTCTTCCATTTGTTTGCAAGGCGCATATCAGGTCATGCCACCAGGTGGCAACACGGACACAACATGGATGCCCTCCGGCCCTGCGGCTCCGCTACAAACTGTTCTACTTCCACATTGACTTTTTAAGCATCAGTGCAAGAGAAGGCGACATGCCAGACCCCAGGTGCCCCATCCCAAAGCCCCTCCTGGAACATCTGCAGGCTTCTTCCCGTCTGGAGATCCAGTGGCCTGAAAAAGACCCCTGAGGAGAAGAGGAAGGCACAGCTTTCCTAGACTGCTCTGTCTAGGCTTACTCTGCCCAGTGTGCTTTCCTAGCTGAACATGCACCTGCTGGCCCCTGGGAGAAGGAAGCAAATGGGACCTCAAGGGGGCAAAGTAACTGCCCTGATTTAGTGACTGCTGATGACACACTCAAGAGCACTGCAGGAGCTGGCACAGAACCGGTGCTGGCCCAGGAGCCATGCTGCAGTGCCTGCATTTTGAGGCATGACATACAAGCAAGTCTGCATCAAGCCCTGGGGCCGGACCTGGCTGCTCCAGTATGCCAACGGGTCAGGTCTTAACTATCGCTTCTGCTGGACGGCTGCATGATCTGAATCAACATTTTTCTGTGGGGAAATGGCAGCTGGAGCTCCTTAGGTAAATCCTTCTGTCCAGCTCTCCACACTCCTCTGCCCTTCCTACAAAACCTCTTGTTCGGTGCACCGAGCTGGGAGACGCCGGGCAGCCCGTGGAAGGACAGGATGTTCCGCCTCCTCTCCCACCCTGAGTCATCACTACGGCAAGCTTCCCTCCAGCAGGGAAAGGGCAAGCACAAAGTGAAGCATCAATCCATTTCTCCGTTAGGGCAAGCGTGTCGTGCATACAACCTGGGACAGTGGACAACGTTAAGTTGGCTCCTGTCAGCAGCCCGCTGGCCCCGCCCCCTCCCTACCTTCTGCTCCAGGAGGGCCCTGCGGAGGGACACCCTCTGCTCAAGCTCCCGCAGCTCCCGGTCATGTTGGGCCTCAGCCTGCATCTTGATTTTACTCTGATACGCGTTCAGCAGCTCCAGTTCCTGCTGCAGCTGCATCTTCAAAACCTGGCACTCTGCTTCCTGCGCCTCGTCCAGACGCAGCTGTGGAAGGAAGACAATAGAGACGTTTCACTGGGGGGCAGCCTCTCCTGACACACACTACGGGGCAAAGGGCCATTTGTTTTCTTAGCCGTACAATTGCTCTCTCCTGCATTTAGTTTCACGGAACAGAGAACCCACAGTGACAAACACTGGTGGCAGCAAGATAGCCATGCTGCTGCAAGTGACACTACAGACCAGCATCTGAGCAACTCTGGCTCGTTATGGGGATGGCTGGTTAGCCGGTACTAAGACCTATCGCCCTCTCCTTTGCCAGAGAGAACCTAGGGGGAAAAAAGTCTCCTGTGTCGCATTTGTTTGATTACTGGAGTGCTGACGTCCAATGCGGATTTGTTCCGTTTGCATGGAATCAGAGAGGTGGAGAAAGGATTTGAGCCCAGTGTGGTCACCTGAACAACCAACCCCATCCCCAGGGTTCACTAAGCATGCACTAAGGTAGTGCTACCCAGCTCCAGGCTGCCATACCTGGGCACACAGCAAGGAGGGCACGTGAGACCCTGCAGAGGAATGGCAATGCAGCTACTGCAGGTACCCACCCCGTGGCCGGGTGTAGGGTCAGGCAGCAAAATAGAATTTCCCAGCCTTGCCATACTAGTTTTAGTGTCTTTCGACTCTTCTGTGCTGACAGCCCCTTGCAGTGCTCTCAGCAGCTGGAGCTGCTCTGGCAGGCAGAAGCGTGAGCTCAAAACCCAAATCCCTAGGCTGGGAGCCAGAGAGCAGGGCTGCCCAGGGAGCCTTTGAATGCTCAGCTGCTGCACCGGGTGCAAAAGCACCCATGGGACCAACACAGATTTCCTTTTGGCCCCATCACAGTGACCCTAGCCTAGCAGCAAGCACTTTCCTGGCCTCTACGGTGCTTCTGGGAGGCGGGCACAAGCGCACCTGGGCTCTGAACCCCGATACCACACGTGGGGCCAGGAGGAGCCAGCCCTGCTGTCAGAGCATCTCTGGGTCACAAACTGCAGGCTGCTGCCTTTGGCCAGGGGGGCCGCAGGGTCTGGGAGGCAACTCACAGCTTGTGTCGAGAGCATTTCATTAATGCTGTGATCGTACTGCTCGGCGAGGATGGCCAGCTTGCGCGTCTGCTCCTCCTTGAGCCGTTTCAGCACCGCTTTGTGCTCGCTCTTTGGCGTGGTCTCCAGCAGGTGGTTTCTCAAGGCTTTGTACTGCCGGGTCTGGATCTTGCACGTGTCCTGGAACTGCTTCTTGATCTGCAGCTCTTTGGACTAGAGATAGGAAAAGACCCAGACTGTTTTACCATACTGAGTACCATACGGATGGGCCTAAGTTCAAGAACTCACAGCTGGACACGAGCATTTAAGGTCTGAGGAGGAAAGTGATAAACCACCCAAGAGGCAAAGACCAGGCTACTGCAGCTGCTCTGACACTTTGCTCCTATGAGGAACAATGAGAATACAGGCCCCTCTGTCACAAAGCTCCAGCCTAAATACAGCTGTCTCTACACAAAGGGCTCCACTTGCTGCTGGACTGGATCCAGTCCTGAGTGTTGCTTTTCAAGACGACTTCTTGAGGGGTAGGAGTAATGCTTATGAGCAGCGAGGGCCATACTTCAACACGGCTGAGCCTGCGTAGTTAGAAACATTATTCATTCAAGGTTACAAAGGCAAAAAGAAGCAAGAAGAAGAATTAGGAACACACAAGGAAGAAGAATTAAATTCCTGATTTCTGGGTCTGGTGAAGGAGATCAGAGCAAAAGACAGATCTCCTTCCAGATCTGGTGAAGGAGAGTGTAGCTGAATCAAGAACACAGTATCTCAGCCCAATACTGAGGGGCCTGAGTTTGACTCCTGAAACCATCATGTACAACAGCATCACTGTTCACCCTCATGCAAAACAGCCCTCGGGGCACTGGCAGGAGATGTGACGTTCTCCCTATTCTCTTCCTTTGCACCTGCCCACACAACCACACTGTCAAAGTGGGACAAAGTGACTACAACCCCAGACTGGGGGTCACCGGGTGCCTGGATTTCCTACTGACCGGCTGTGTGACCTTGGGTCAGTGACTCCTCTCTAGAGCTGTTTTCTCACCTGGTTAATGCCTAGGTACCTTGCACAGGACTTGTGCTCCGAGATCCTGAGAAGGAAGGGGCTCCAGAAACACCATGGTGGAGGGATAGTTTCCCAAGGACAGGCCGTCTAGGCAAAGCAGGAGTAACAGTAACAGACCCCAGCGTACACCTACAAAGCCCAAGGCAGCGCTGAGTTAGCTTGGGCACCAGAACCCACATAGCCACGTCAGCATGGTGCCATCAAAGCTAACAAGCTCTGCCGTGGCTATCCTGCTTCTGAACAGGCTAGCTCGGGGACCTCTGCACCACACCCTATGCTCTTCTACTAAGCAGTATTTGCTCTTGGGAGACCAGATTAGCCCCAGAAACACTCCAACGGAGGAACACAAGGGAACAAACTCAGCCTGTATGACCTATGGCGCCAAGCCGGGACCCCACAGTGAGCCCTACATGGTCTGAAATTTTGAGTGTCCAGGTGCTCCCGGCCGCAGAACGGCCTCATGCACCTTGCTCCAGGGAGGAGCTCCACCACCTGGACTGGAGACACGGCTGCCTGTGAGCTGACCTCCCATGACCTATGCCACCGGGACTGGTTGCACTGGCCAGATGATAACTCTAGCGTGTGCAGGCCCAGCACTCAAACCCAGTCTTACTTCCCCTAAACACTTCATCACCAGCAAGTTGGTTTTCAAAGAACACTGTGATTCCCCAGAGCAGGACCTGGCGACGGCTCATTCCATTCAGCTAATGCATCCATCACAGAGGGCAGGACACCACTTTTACCACTTCTGAGTTAGCAGAAAGCAATTTCCCCACCGGAAAGCCTTGAAGGCTGTTCTCCAACCCCCACTCTCCAAAGGGAAGCGTCTGCAGGGTCTGCTCTCCTATCAAAGGCTGGGCTATGGCCGGGGACTAACAATGCAGTTTGTCCTCCCCTTCTGTGAAGTTTCAGTCCGGCACCAGGCTCTGTTTACAACTTTCCAACCAAAAGGCTTTAACAACAGGAAACAGAAGGGAGGGGTCAGGCTTCCAGGCAGACTCCTGACAAGATCATTTTGGTGGAGTCTTGTGAAATACCGGCAAGAGGGTATTTGCATCACAATTGAACCACTCCAAATAGGAAGAATCAGAATCATAGGGCTGGAAGGGACCCTGAAGGATCATTGGGTCCAGCCCCCTGAATAAGCAGGAAAGACATCTGGGGTCAGACCACCCCAACCAGGTGACCATCCAGTCTTCTCTTGAAGAAGGGCAGTTTTCATTGAAGGGGGATTTCTAGATGCTGTTCCTTCTGGACTGTGCCCAGCACAGGCAGCCTCTGACACCGGGAAGCACTGCTGGAGAGATGCTGGAGCACAGCTGCCACTAGCAGAGCATTTGCCTGCACTGTTCGGAAGCAAGGGAAGATTTAAGGTTCCTGGAACAAGGGCACTGTGCTGCAGGGCTGTGACTGGAGCCTGCAGTTAGTGCTGTGCCTATGGAAATGCAGGGCTAGGAAAAGGGGCTGGGGGTTCACGGCTCCGATCTGAAGTCCCTTGTTAGGGCACTGCAGTGCAGGCAGCAGCGCATGCTCCCTTGCCCCGAGAGGGCACACCTGCCAAGGTGGAAGGTCCGTCTCTGGGACCCTGTCAGCCCTTTGCCCTCCCTGCTCTAGCTGCCAAGGGGAAGGTGAGCATGGTACAGGGCACATTGCCACTTGCACCTGGACCGCATCAGCGGGCAGGCTTCATTCATGCTGATCTCAGGAGGATCGGCCTAATACGGCTGCTTCAGTCTGATCCAGATCAGAGCAAGATACAGTTTCCCTGTGAATCGCCAGCTACTTATACCCTATATCCTTGGAGATTCTGACCAGCGATCGAATGGTCCCCGGTACCCCCGAGCTAGCTCTCTGCTTCAAAATCATGCTAATATTGACAAATGACAGTTTTGCTGCAGAAGTACTTGTCTCAGGCTGGTTATTTTCCAGGCAATGTCCGTCAAGGAGATCACCTGCAGGTGGTTTGAACCGAGTCAGGCAGGCAAGCCGCGACTTGGGGAGACCTAGCACAACAAAGAAACCCTGCGCTTGGTAGGCCACACGGCTCTTTCTACTATGGGCGTGGCAGAGCGCTGGGTGGGGAGGAGAAGCCTGCCTCCCCCTCAAGGGGAACAGAGCAGGTGGCTCTGGGAAGGGCCTCATACTCCATTCTGCAGGTACTTGACACACGACAGCCGCACTTCCCTGGACGGAGAGAAGGGCCTATAGTGGAAGCGCCAAAAGTCTCAGCTCTGAAGCAAAGCAGGTCTGCTCCGCTACCCCTATGCTGCCTGCAGGACGAGTGCCTGAGGAGACCCCAGCACGACATGGGGCAGTATCAGGGCCCTCTTTCCAAGGCCACACGCAGCAGGTAAAAACTCCTTTCTAGCCCTTGCTCGCCTGCCGGTATTTATGCACCGTCCACCCTCTGGGCAAGCTTGTGCACTTGACTTCCACATGGAACAGCAGCACGGCAGCTTTGCTGGGAATGCTGATGCCTGACAGAAGGATGGCCTGGCTCCTCTCGTGGGAGGGTGGGGAGGAGAGATGGGGGAAAGCCTCTTAAATATAAATTTAAAATCCAATTTCTCAAAGATTTTGACTACTCAAAAGGAAAGATGCAGCCGTTGCTGCTGTGTCACCCAAGAGCATCCTCTTAAACAAGGAAAGGCTGGGGAACGGGCAAAGCTAGGGCCCTCCCTGTAACACAAACACAACCCAGGAAAGGGATCCAGATACCCCCAAACATGCCAATGAAAAGGATCTTAGCCACACTCCGCTGCTGACGTGGCTCTACGGATGTCTCTGGCCTTTCAAAGAACAAACCCCAAGGGCCTGACCTGCAGCCAGTGTGCCTGGCACAGCTCCACCAAAGCCAATGCAGTGGAGGCAAGTCTACCCAGGCAGGGATCGATTGGAGAATCCTCTTCGCAAAAGCGTTACCATCTTAATGAAGGCAAGTGGAAGAGACGGTGATGGAATCAGGGAAAGGCTGGGCAGGGAGGAGGGTGAAGACAAAAATCACACAGGCACTTGGGTGAACAGCACAAGCATCATGATGAGCTGCTTTCTCAGTTTAAAGTATGCGAGACACAGCCATAAGCCTGCTGAAGACCTGGGCAGCAGGACATGGTAGGGTGAGGAGAGGCTGGTGTGGGGGAGGTTTTCAATAAGGCACACAGCATCATTTTATAGCATGGCCCTGTGATTAGCTGTCACTGCGGTACAGCCAGTCCCCATGCACTGAGCTATGCCTTAGATCTCTGAGCCAGAGACTGATAACCCCGCTTCCCTGCCTGGGCCATGCGTGGCCACCACACCTACCTTCAGGCTCTTGGGCTGCTGCCTGACCTCCATGACGTGCTTGCGCCGCAGCTCCCTCTCGCGCCGCTTGTTGTACTCCAGCTGGTTGGTGAGCTCAGTCTGGTGCTGCAGGCGGATCAGCTCGCAGCGCATCTTCTGGATGGTGTTGAGGTGGCGGAACTCCAGCTCCTGCATGGATTCGTGTTGGCGCAGCAGCATGGCATGCTCCAGGTCCTTCTGCGTCTGCCTCTTGTTCAGCTCCTGAGCCAGGGAGAGACAGCAGGTGGCTATGGGTCCCCGCGCATGCTATGTGGCTGCGGGCAGACCCAACTCACTGCTGGTGGGTACTAGATCCAACCTGGCAAAGGCCCCTTCTTTGTGCCACTGCAGGTGTTGCCTACACGGGCTTCTGCGCCCCAGCCTCTGTCCCCAGTCAAACCCTCCTGACACAATACCCCTCTCCAAAAGTGTTTGCTAGCGAGAAACCCCTCACCTGGCTTGCTGGATCTGCCAAATGAGATTATCTGCTCTGCTGGATATTGTGCATTGCCACCTCCTGTGTCATGTGCAGGACCCCAGCAATGCTCGAGGTGCCCCAGCCAGCTCATGTGGGGCTGCTATGGTTACAGCTTCTGCCCCCCTGCTGCCCCTCTTACCTCCCGAACAAGGTCCTGCTCCAGGTTGTGGCGCCCAAGAAGCATTCTTCGCTTGAAGCGGCGGCACTCTAGCTCCAGGTATTGCCGCTGGCGGCGCAGTAGGTTGGCCTCCTCCTCTGCCTGGAAATGCTGGATGTTCTCCTTCTGCTTGGAGAGCCACTCCTGCTTCTCCTTCTTCGGGGTGCTCTGGTTCTCGTTCAGCTCCTGCAACACCAGGACAGGGATTTCACAGCCATCTAGCTAACCTCCTCGACTCCAAGCAGCTGGGCAATACTGCCTGGTGAACTGCAGCTTGTCCCAGGCAGCTTTGCCTTCCCTCCTACGCTTCGGTTCAACTTACTTAAGTGTCTGTCCCCTTTCCCTTGGCCTCAAGAACACTACATTTTCCCACTGATGATGATGCACTGCCACTTACCAACTCCCATTTACCAGGAGTCTACAGGAGGGAAGGTTTCCATCTCATTCAAACAATATTTTTAACAACAGCTGCCAATCCAGCACCTATGCTTCCCTAAGGAATGTCATCTTTGATCCCACCAGACAAAGATTCCTACCCACCACAGTTCTGCCCTGCCTCCCTTGACCCCACTGCTTGCCGGGCATCTCTCTCTCATGGGAGTCTTCCCCTTAGCATTTGTTAGCATTGATTCCAAAGCCGAGTCCCAGACATGGTGGACTTTTCAAACTCTGCTCCTGATGGCAGAGATATCAGTCTGTCTGCAAAATGAACCAGCAGGATGCGCCGGCAGTTCCTCTGGATGCAACTATGATGATTTTCAGAACAATACAATCAATACGTTACTAAATAGCTTCTCCTGATATTTCTGCTGCCTTACAAATGCATATTTTAACACACAATCTGCAGGTCACTGCCACTGCTCTACTCCCCTGATTATCTACTATAGAGGCATCACCCAGAAATGAAAAATGTCACTAATTACAGTGGTTATGGCCTGCATACAAGGGGTCCAGCTACACAATCTGATCAATATGCTGCTTTTCATTCCAGCAACAAGACATTTTTCCCCCTGAACTACTCTCTTTCAGTTCTTAAGATCCTTAAGTCTTGGCCAGCCCAGAACCGCAAACCATATCAAATAACAGAGAAATCTGTACTTCCAGTGAGCTACCTGAATGCCAGTGTAAAAACATTTGCTCGTGTTCTAAGATCAAGTTTATAAATGGTCTAAGTGACGTCTTTCAGGAAGGTGTTATGCCTGAATCACAACAAAGAACTTGTCATGCTCCAATGAAATGTATTTCATAGCTTAATGGCATCCCTGAAGTCTAGTTGTTGAGTGTGCTGGTACAATACATCATACAAGCCATGATGTTAGCACAATTAATCCCCGATTGTTATTGTAACACAGGACTTGCCTCTTTGAGCTGCTCTTTGCGGAGCTTGTATTCTCTCTTCTGTGATTCCAGGAAGCTGTTCAGTTCCTTCTTCTGTTGGGCCTGAATGTGTTGTTGAAACTTCTTCTCTTCATTAGCCATCACTTTGGCCTACACCAATTCCAAGATAAAAGCAAAGGTGTGTGTGAGACTCACTGAATTTTAACTGATCTCCATTTCCACTTCAGCCCACCTGCTCCATGTCTCTCTTTATGCTTTCGATGTATGCCTTTCAAGGACCCAAGTTGCTTTCACACACTCATTTCTCAGTCCCTACCCTCTACCCCCCAACCAAGGAAGGCACCAAATGACAATTCTTGCTCAGTGCTACATCACCTTAGCTCTAAGTTTGAAGCTCTTCCTGATTAAAGTCAATGCCTAATTGCAGAGAAAGCCTTTAGACAGATCCAGCACAGGTACAAAGCTAAGAGTAGCCAAAGAATGCTGCCCACTGATCTCCGACAGGGGCACTGGTTCACCACCGTTTATTAAACTTAAGCATATTCACCAGCAGATGGAAGGAAGAAGAGTCTAAGCGCAGCTGGCACATTGCTGTGCAGGTCTATCTGTCACAATCACAACTCCCGACAGGAGTCATATAAGGCAAGAGCAATACCCTAACTACCTGGATTCCTGATCTTTTCTGAAGAAAGCATTTGATTAATTCACTGTGTTAAAACTCATAGAAAAGCAAGACGATGGAGGATAAAGACAACAGAAAGGAAAATCCTTGCTGGAATTTTTCATGGGCCTGGCTTGCTAAGAGTTAGCAAAATGCACTGAGATGCGGGACATACCTTTCCTCTAGTTACATAAGCCCCTTAGTGTAAGGTGATGTATTAGCCTCTCTCTAATTACCAGTTTGCTTGGCTTCTGAAAATAGATGCGTAAGAGACTCCAATGTCATTTCTTCGCCAGCGAGGGCGGTGGACAGTTCAATAGAATCAACGAACATGGACCAGTCAGCTGAATCTTAGCTTCTTACCTCCTTCTCCATGGCTGCTTGGTGCTTTTTAATTAGCTTTTCCATTTCTGCAGCAAAGTTGTTGCGCTGTGTTTCAAGATCTTTGTCCAACCTGAGGCGATGCTCATCCATCTCTGCCTTCAGTTTGTTCTCCAGTGCCATCAGCTGTTTCTGGTGCTGCCGTCTCATGCGTTTATAGCCAGACATCTGCTCTCGGAGCTCAGAGTCCTGTTCGTGTTCCTGCATTTGCCTTGTCACCTAGGCAGACAACCACAGCAGGATAAAAATAAGGTTTCATAGTTTCAAGGGTTGGAAGGGACCTGAGCAGATCATCTAGTCCGACCCCCTGCCACGGCAGGAAAGAGTACTGGGGTCAAACGACCCCAGCAAGGTGTTCATCTAACCTCCTCTTAAAAACCCCCAGGGTAGGAGCCTGTACCACTTCTCTTGGAAGTTGGTTCCAGACCCTAGCCACCCTGACCGTGAAGTAGC